AGAAAGGCATCTTGGTAGTTCACTGCGGTGCGAAGAACCTACCGGACGATGTGATCTTGCCACCTGCTCACCGGGTACTAATACATATGCCCCACGGAGGGCTGAAGCAAAGTGCCCACCTTGAGCTAAAACATTCACTCCACCGAGGGCTGAAGCAAACTGCCCACCTTGAGCTAAAACATTCACCCCAGCGAGGCCTGAAGCAAACTGCCCACCTTGAGCTAAAATATTCACCCCACCGAGGCCTGAAGCAAACTGCCCACCAGGAGTTAACACATACACCCCACCGAGGCCTGAAGCAAACTGCCTACGGGGCTAACATGTAGATCTACACCTCATTGAGGGCTAAAGCAACCTGCTCACCGGAGGCTAACACCGTCATTAAAATTGTCGCTTCGCAAATCACAATGTTTGTGGCTTGCTCGTCTTAGTCGAACTTTCGGAATCGCTGTTTTCTGTGTTCGAACATTGGAGCCACCCTTCCTGAGCAATGTCTACTTGTCACTGAAGCCATGGTGGTCTCGGACTTTGTCCGAGCTCTCTTCCGCACTAAATATATGTTGGACTCAGTAGAGCGTCCAGCCCCTATATGATGTCCAACCCCTATATAGAGTCCATTGGTCCAAAATCCACTGAACAGAGTCCAAACTTGAAATCAACTGTGAGCTCAAAGTTTCGATGGACATCACTCCCTGTATAGAGTCCAGCCAATTGGCTTCACCCCTATATAGAGTCCATTGGTCCAAAATCAACTGTACGGATTCCAAACTTTGAAATCAACTATAAAGAGTCTTTATGTGGACAACACCCCCTGCATAAAGTCCAGCCAATTAGGCATCCCCTATCGAGTTCGAAAATAGACATAGGATCTGCTGTAAGCAGTGAATATTAACCAGAATGCGGTCTCTCCCTTCCATCCTTTACATCATTCACTTCTCAAGATAAAAAAATATGTATTGAGGCACCACTGCAGCCACTTCATTACATGAAAAACCCTACAAACACCATCCTCAAATCAAGTGGTCTCTTCGCAGACGCTGCAAATTACAATATCTCAATCATGTAGTGTTGACAAATTATTGTGCACGCACACACACATGCACACACCCACACAACGCCAAGAAAATACCTAGAAAAAACCAAGAATCGAAAGAGAATAATGGAGAGCCCAGGATTAATTATTTGTTTTCAAATTATTGTGCACGCGTGCACACACACACACACACACACACACACACACAAACTTATACAACGCCAAGAAAACACCAAGAAAAGAGTAGAGACACAATACACACGCAACTCCAACAGCCATGCAAACGTCCAGCCATTTACATGTAAAGTCAAGAGGGATAACAAATAATTATACGAAACGAATGCATACGGGGACGGGTACACGCACGTTTACATACACGTAGTAGTGTAAGAGAGTAACATAGTGCAGTGGTCAGCATAATACTAGCACATGCTGAGAGTGCAATAGCAAGCTTCACCATTGCTCATGGCCATGCAAATGTTCAGCAGCACTCAGTTCCGCAAGCTTCTGAAGATCAGCACACCTGCAACAAATAGATAGCACAAGGATACGCTTATTACCGTAATGATGCATGGGAGCACACAACTACCAAGTTCTCAACGAATGTGATGCTCAATGAAAATCAATCCACTCAAAGACCTGTGAACAGGTGATGGTGGGGACAATAATCTATTAGTGATACGAGGAATAAGATCGTTTGTGCACACTCAAGACGCACAGACACACCAACATACATGTAGTGTACAGTGTTTCACTTCACTGCAACTAAATTGAAATGAGATGATTTGAACAATCTGTACAGCATTGCTGTCAGTCAGTCTTCCCCAAGATGGAAATGCAATGATTTGTTGTCACGAGGCAGTTTCACTGACACAATGACATGTTCGTGACATCAAAACGGTTACTTCAGGGAATACGAGTATTAGCTTGAGAAGCTTTTTCTTGTCATTGGCATACAAGCAATCCTCCTAGTCCTACTACTACTAGTACACTGGCACTGCGTTTGTGGATCCCATTGTATTTGACATCATACTACAGGAAGAGTGTCGTGGAGTTCACATAATTATCACAGGGATAAAAATACATTTCTCATGAAATAAAATAATAATTGATGATAGCTAGACGATCATATACGATTGATGCAAAGTCCTTGCAGTCCTTGAGGACTATTACGAAGTGGTTGATTACTTTTAGGGCATTCATTCAAGCAACATCAAACAAACGCGATACGCTCCTTGAAAATGGAAAAAAATTCAAGCATAACGACAGAACAGCTCAGCAGACCAATCGAAACGAGTAAAAGCTTCCTTACCTCAGTCATCGTCCTGCCATGTAGTTGGACAGCCTTTTGACACGGTGGTACAGGCAGCTCTTGTCCAGTCAAACAGGGGTATCCTTGTGGCGTCGAACGGAAGAGAGTGTCAGTGTATCTGATTCGTCAGATTGCAACTGTGCTGAACTTTTCTCTTTCTCCGCTTTCCGCTTTCATCCCTCGCTCTGATGAAACCGTTCAAACGTCTTACTGGCAGCAATGGCCAGCCAAACAGGGGATCCTTGTGGCGTCGAACGAAAGAGAGCGTCAGTGTACCTGACTCGTCAGATTTGAACTGTGCTGAACTTTTCTCGTTCTGCAATTTCTGCTTTCATCCCGCGCACTGATGAAACGTCTTCAGAGAACCACAAGACGCTTTGCAGATTTGATTTTGAACGTCTCCTTACCCTCCTTGGTTAGCTCGAGACAGATTACTGTCAGCAACTGCACAGCAGAATTGGCAGCCATGGCTGAAGTGAAGAAAGGAATGCGCTGCCACGAGGCAAGCAAAACTGAAAATGTGTTCTCTTTCGGGCACAACACACAGGACGGCGTGACTGGATAAACTGGACTCCTGGACCGTGAATAGGGGACTTGTAGAAAAAGTGTACTCCTTATAGGGGATTGCGCGGCAGGATGAAGCTGATCAAAACTGAGTGGACTCCTGGACTCTGTATAGTGGATTTTGGACCAATGGACTCTATATAGGGTGCTGGACATCATATAGTGCATGGACTCTATACTGAGTCCTACATATATTCAGCGCTCCGCATTATTCAGCCCCAGAGCACATATCGTTTTTTCTGGAGTTCGTGCCTTCCACATAGTTTGCGTGGGCATTTATCAAGACTGCAAGCTCGGGCATAAGAATCCTGGTATCTCTCCTGAATTCGAAATGCTGAAGTTCACGATGGCAAGAACAAATTGTTCTCAATTTCCTAAAAAAACACACGACGTGTGCCGCATGTTGCTGTGAAGGTAGCATGTCCGAAAACACCAACAAAATCAGCGAAGCGCTTGCAAAGAAAAGAAGGTGCGGAACTGCTTACCCTATCCCGCTGGAAGGTCGTTACAGTGTACTCGAAAAGTGCTAGTTTGCCGTCATCGCCTGCCACCTGGAGTCATGGATGGCTTGAAAACGAAGTATCATGCCCTGATTTTGAACGTGCGTTTTGTTCAGTGTATCGCTGAGTGCTGAAGGGTCTGCCTCAAACTCTGATGAAGACATCAACCTTAGCTGTAAGTGCAGCAAAGACGGGAGGCCAAAACTAAAGCTTGGTCTGTCGACAATGCTCTGCCTCAGTTTCTAGCTGATTTCTTTTCACGTTGAGTGGACAAAATAAATTTGAAAAATCGCTCTGGGAAGCAACAATTTTAATGAAGTGGAGGAAGTACATTCCATTGAGGGCTGAAGCAACCAGCTCACCAAGAGCTATCACATACATCCCATTGAGAGATGAAGTATACCCCCCCCCCCCCCCCCCCCCCCCAGGTGTAACACACCCACCCACCAAGAGCTGAAGCATACTGCTTGCTGGGAGATGATCATGTACCGCCCACCAACGGCTGATGTGTACTGCCTGTACGGACTATTGAGAGCCAAGGAATAGCTGCTGACACCCACAACCTTCCCACCAAGGGCTAAAGCATACTGGCCCCAGCACCAATCTCGTACCGCCCAGCGTGTGCAAACGAATGACCAACGAGGCGAAGAATTCTCCCACCTAGGGCTCACATAACTACCTGGCATAAGGAGTCACACCGAACCCATACAACAATCCTGATGCCTGCTTGCATCCCCCACCTCCATTCGGGAAGAAAACAAGGTGGCAAATGACTGAAAGAGCCGAGACAAACAAAATCGAGACGGTGGGATGGCGGGGAGTAGTAAAACATAATTTCAGCAAATCAAGAAAAAAACTAAAATTTAGGACAGCTCCTTCATGTCCAGACAGATTTTGAGAAATTCAAGACATATCTGTCGAATTGAAATCATAAAAATGCCCGTAAAAATTGGCCAACTTCGTTATTCTCGACAACCGGTGGCATGGGCAAGCAATCTGCCTCGCTTTACAAGCGTATTGCATCCCTCATTGCTGAGAAATGCAGCGAACCGTATTCGGTTGTCATAGCATTTATCCGCTGCCGCCTTAGCTTTGCTTTGCTCAGAGCAAGTGCTATGTGCCTGCATGGTAACTGCTCTGTTTTCGCTGTGCATGCACCTGTCTTTTCTTCTCCCTCTCTAGTTGTTGCCGAAGCTGGCACTTTCCGTCATTAATATTGTAGTCTTTAGTTTTTTAATATCAGTATTTGTCATGGCGACTCCATTACACACTTTGTAGCACGATTTCAAAATTTAAAAAGTAAAAATTCGCCAACTTGTAAACTGTGCAGGGACAGCAATATGACACATACTTGCAGCACTAGCACTGTGCCTATAACACCCGTGTGCGTGGGCAACTAAGCTTTCCTGTGCAAAGCCCACATCTTTTCTAATTCGTGCAATTCTTGCATGAGTAACTGAGCTTATGTATGATGCAGACATACTGTATCATTCTGTGCTGGGAAACGTTTGAAATGTTAAAATGAAGTTTTGTCCATGCTGTTCTTTTCTGTTTGTGTATTGTGTTGTGATGTACATGTATGTACCTGTAGGTCACCACACTGGATGGTACATACATACGTGATATAGGCAAACCAGGCAGTGGTAATGCTGAATTCAACTATCCCACTGATGTAGCTGTGGATGGCGATGGTGATCTTGTGGTGGTTGACAACATCAACAAGAGACTGCAGGTAAGATATAATGGTTGATTAGTGCGATTCCACTTCTGTTTAATTACACAATGTTGACTGGAAGTTCAGTACAGATAGCAGTCTTCCATTGTTCACATAGTACTAGAGTGTACAGTATGATCATAGTACTAGAGTGTACAGTATGATCATAGTACTAGAGTGTACAGTATGATCATAGTACTAGAGTGTACAGTATGATCATAGTACTAGAGTGTACAGTATGATCATAGTACTAGAGTGTACAGTATGATCATAGTACTAGAGTGTACAGTGTGATCATAGTACTAGAGTGTACAGTATGATCATAGTACTAGAGTGTACAGTATGATCATAGTACTAGAGTGTACAGTATGATCATAGTACTAGAGTGTACAGTATGATCATAGTACTAGAGTGTACAGTATGATCATAGTACTAGAGTGTACAGTATGATCAAGGGTAAACTAAGCTACCAAGAGTGTGCAACTCTTCATACCCTTTCTATGGGGTCATGCAAAGGCAAAAACTCATATCACGTGGTTTTGGAGTCTGGGTGCTTAGTTTGAGTGCTTGGTCTGGCTTAGTCTGAGTTAATCTGAGTGGTCAGTCTGGGTGCTTAGCCTGGGTGGTCAACATCAGGGGCGTCGGAACCGGTTCGGCTGGTGCGGCCAAAGCCGCAGCAATAATTTTCCAAATCGAAATTCTAAAAATCTGTTCTACGCTTTTTGCAGGCCTGAAAAGGTATGGGGTATCTCATGCATGCATAAAAAATGTACGGTGCGCTGTGTGAACCTTTGTACCAGAGCATGGACAGAGGTGGCAAATTTCCGTGGTGGCAGTTTAATGTTCTGACTCGAAGAGATGGAAGGTTACCATGGTTGCCCCGAAATAGGAGATGCTCTTTTCCAAACCAGGTCACATAACTAGCCAAAGCGAGCCTTCGGGGTTAGCCAAGTTGGGTTCCGTGCATTCTTGCCATCTTAGTATGACAATTATCCCTGGTTGCATTGGGATATGAAGCGTAAAAGAGTATTTTGCTTCACGTGCGTAAAGGCAACTCGAGAAAAGCTCCTCTTCAATACGAAGACCGACGCTTCGTTTATTTCAACTGGCTTTCAAAACGGAAAGTATGGTGCGGGAGGATTCTCGAAATATCAGTCCAGGGACTGTCACAAGGAAGCTGTTGAAAAGTTGGAGACAACTCCAGAGACAACTGGTCACGTTGGTGACCTTCTCAACTCACAGTTTTTGTCTGACCGTAAAGAGAATCGAGAGACTTTCCTCCTCATTCTTCGAAACATCAAGTTTCTTGCTCGACAAGGGCTGCCTCTCCGAGGAGCATCGTAAGATGGAGGTGAAGTAGATAGTAAAGTAGACCTCAGCAAGTCATTGCAGTCTGCCAGTAGATAGTAGTTTCCACCAGCTCCTGACAGTCTTCAGCGAATTCCAACCGTCGCTACAGAAGTGGCTAGAGAAGAAGAAGGGAAAATACACGAGTGCCGATATGCAGAACGAAATGTTGAAGGTGATGGCACTCTAGATCCTCCGTGGACTTGCACTCAGTATCGGTGAAAGTAAGTTCGCCATCATGGTGGATAAAACCACTGACTAAAGCTGTCCGGAGCAGTGCGTAATTGTCATTTGATAGGTAGATTCGCAGCTCCATTATCATCAGAAGTTCTGAGTATTTTATGCTATCGCAACGGCTAATGCTGACACTAATTTCAGCGTAATCAAGGATGCCCTGTTGAGGAAGAACCTCAAGCTGGAGTGTTGTCGAGGCCAGTGTTTTTTTGTTTTTTTTTACTAGAGCCACGCAAACCCGTCATGTGTGAGCCATGAATAAGGCGAGTGGTGGCGTTGTCTGGGATGCTCTGCCGACCTTGGGTCTCGGCATCATCACAACAATGTCATGAAGTTGCCTCTACCTTGAAAGGTAGCCGAACAGGAGTTGCCACCCAGATCTTGGCAGAAGAGACCAGGGCTCTATAATATACTCACTGCAACGGGCATGCCCTGAATCTCGCTTTTCAGGACATGATCCGTGTTGTCAAGCATGTCAGGGATGCGATGGACATCACATTTGAGCTCAGCAAGCTCCCTATTAAGTATTCTGCGAAACATACTGCTGAATACAAGCGCCTGAAAACTGAGCTTGCACCAGAAGAACCTGGATTCCGCACCTGGTGTCCGACCAGGTGGAGAGTTCGAGCTGCATCTCTGAAGAGCATCCAGACCAACTACAGCGTCCTTCAACAGTGCCTGGAGTCATGTTCCGAGCTTGGAAAGAACGATAAGGAGATGTCAGCAAAGTGCAATGGTGTGAGGAGTCAATTGTCAAATTTTGACTTCCTCTTCGGTGTCTCTCTCGGTGCAACAGTTCTATCTCTTGCTGATAACCTCGGCAAGTCATTGCAGTCTACCACCTTGTCTGCAAAGTGAAGGCCAAGCAATTGGAAAAGCTACTGTTGACACTCTCCTGCTTCTCCGTACGGACAGTAGTTTTGAGGCTTTCTGGTCGAGCGTGATGAAGCTGCAGCAGTCAAATGACGTGCTTGAACCTCAACTACCAAGAAAGAGGAAGCTACCAGCAAGGCTCCAAGAAGGTACTGGTGCTCCCTCATTCCCTGCCACAGTCGAGGGCTACAATTGCCCTGTGTACTTTGCTGCAATTGACACAGTTGTGCAAGCCATCCGTCAGCGGTTTGACCAGGAAGGCGATTGCAAATACCGGAATTTTGAAGACCTTCTTCTCAAAGGCTGTGCTGGGCGGAACTACAGTACAGAGCTAACAGCCATTGCCTCACTGTACAAGGATGACATCCAGACAGATCTCGTTCATGACCAGCTGCCAGTCCTTCATGCGCATTGCGTTGCTGAAGGTGATGATGCACCGACCGTGCTTCATGTTGTGTCTTACCTGCAGTCTTTGTCCAGTCGTCAGTTATTCTTGTCAGAAGTGTGCGTCCTGCTGCAGCTGCTGCGGATATCACCAGCCACTAATGCCACCAGTGAGCGCTCATTCTCGCTCCACATATACTGGAACACACAGAGACATAGACAGCAATAGCGACACTGCACAAAGTGAAGGGAAGTTGGCCGCAGCCAGATGTGAACCGGATAACGAGTGAGGTATGGAAGCAAGGACTGAGAACAGAGTGTCTCAGATAGAATAGGCGTTCCAGTGGATAGCAGAAAAAGGCCATGATGCAGAACCACTTGGGACCGTCAAATTAATTTTTCTGGACCGAGCCAGCCGGGGAAAAAACCCTCGCGCCGACGGACGAAGTTGTGAGGGAAAAAACCGGGTGCATATCTCCAATGGCGATTAGGCATCATGTAGGCATGGCAAGCACTTCACGTCAAAAGTTATAAAAGAGCAATGATAATATGCAGGGTGGGAGGGCAGGGACACGGGTGTGGCTCAAAACTGACTGAAGAAGTCAGGAAAAGAAGCGACAATAAAGAACTCACCAGATGCCATATTTGCAACTGAAAATATTTCCGGAGAATTCATTTCTCGCCTATCTCGGCCGGCGAGAAATACAACTTCTCGGCAAAAAGGCGGCTGAAAACGTACCACTGTGCTTTTCTTCATGTTCGCAAAGGAAGACTGAGATGCTTTGAACTTGAAGACAGTTGCGAATGACTTTGTTGGAGAGTGAGAGTATCGCAGAGGCATTTTCGGAAAGTTTTAGATGTGTTTTAGTGTTGCTTTGCAAATTTTGTCAATGCTCAGAACAGCAACCCCAATTCGCGCTTCTTTGTTACATGTTCTTACCTTGTATGCCTCGTTTGTTGTTTCCATATATTAGCATGTGTTTCATTACTCTTTTTGATCTAGTGATTCCCTAGAAACCTTGTTGGTGGCTTGTCGACTCTTGTACAGCTACCATGTTTTGCATCAGCAATGCGGTGTGTCATCATCCATGCATATTCTTATTCCTCATATTATTCTGTGGGATTAAAATATGGCCTTTTAGGCCCACTTTTCAAAACATTTTCTCCGCGGGAGGTCCCCCCCCCCCCACACACACACAAACTTTGGCCGCACCAATGTTAAACAGCTTCCGATGCCCCTGAGTATGAGTGGTCAGTATGACTGGTCAGTCTGGGTGGTTAGTCTGACTGGTCAGTCTGGGTGCTTAGTCTGGGTGCTTAGTCTGGATGGTCAGGTAATGGGAGTATATTATTATTAACGAGTCTCAACGAGACTGTCCAGACACATCTGGAGACTGAAGGATGAAAACAAACCTTACAGTATCAGGTGGTCCGTTGTGAGGAGAGCCGCACCATACTCTAACATCTCGAAGCGCTGCAACCTGTGTCTGGCCGAGAAGCTGGAGATTGCCTGGGCCATCAAGACCCGCTCCCTCAACAAGAGGTCAGAGCTTGTGTCCAAGTGCCGTCATGAAAACAAGTTCTACCTCTGTAACTTTGCGCGCAAGGTCAAGTGAATCTAGCTGGTAGTCCCGCTGCCAAGTGTGTGTGTGTGTGTGTGTGTGTGTGTGTGTGTGTGTGTGTGTGTGTGCGTGTGTGTGTGTGTGTGTGAGTGTGAGCGTGCATGTGTGTGTGTGTGTGTGTTTGTGTGCATTCGTGAGAAAGAGAGTGCGTGTGGGTGATTGGATAAGTGCGGGTGCAAGTATGTGTGCGGTAGGTGTGAGAATGAAAGGATGAGTATTGTGGCCGTGTGTGTGTGTGTGTGTGTGTGTCTGTGTGTGTATGTGTGTGTGTGTGTGTGTGAGAGAGAGAGAGAGAGAGAGAGAGAGACAGAATGTTTGTGTCAATGTTTTGGAGAATGTGTGTGTGTGTATGTAAGATTTAGAGAATGTGTGTGTGAGATTTGGAGAATGCGTGTGTGTGTGTGTGTGTGTGTGTGTGTGTGTGTGTGATATAGAGAATGAATGTGTGTGTGCGTGTGCATGTGTGAGATATAGAGAATGAATGTGTGTGTGTGAGAGAGAGAGAGATTTAGAGAATGTGTGTGCGGACGCGCATGTGAGTGTATGTGTATGTGAGAA